AACATGGTATTAAAAAATTAATCTAACTCTATCCGAAACCGTCCACATTCTGTTCCAATTGAATCTTACACAACGCTACACTTTGTGCATTCCTGTGTCCGTTTGTGTTAAAATGTGTTAAGCAATTGGAAAGCACCCAATGTTATTTTTCTATTTCAGGTCTCTCTCTCACACACACACACACACACACACGCACACACGCACACACGCGCACACGCGCACACGCGCGCGCACACACACACACACACACACACACACACACACACACACACACACACACACACACGTCACGGGCTTAAAACTGCGGTTAACGTTACGCCACGCTCCACGGAAGCGTTGCTGCGGAGAATCGAAAGGAAAAAGTTAATTCGGGAATTGCCCAGGAAACTGGTTAAATAGCTGCGACTCTGCGCACCGCGCGGAGCGTGTCCGCCGCACTTTCGGATTGAGAGCGAGGCGAAATTAAATGATTTTACGGAACGTGAAATACCTATAAAATTGGCTCCGTAAAATCGTGCAGCGTTTCAAGACTGGCTGAAGAAGAAGTCAAATGAATGACACGACGACGTTTCTCTTATTTATTTGTGGACTCTGTTGAGTTCTGCGAAAATAATGCTTTACTCAGCATTCTCACAATGTGATGCAAAAGCTCGAAGCTTCTCGATAAACAGAGGAAGAACAAAATTGACGAACACAATGTCTGCGCGATTAAAAATAGCGCAGGTCCTCTCTGTTGCCATCAAAACAAAGCTGCTAAATTGACGAAAATAAAGATATATATACGGACTGAGATAACTAAATGCATTAGAATCGGAATTCTTAACGCTATTTGCATGCATTGGAGATGTTGTGTTTGTTGCAAGAGGACGAACGTGTCGCATTGGCAACGCGAGACGGCGCGCGATACCCTGATATCGAGACCACGCGCGCGCGCTCCTCGCGGCACGTATAGCGCGTCGCCTCGTTAGAAATATGCCGCGCGCGAGTTTCTGCGTTCCCCAACCACCTCCTCCTCCCCCCTCGCCCCGTATAGCGTAACCGCCTATAATCTTATATTACGATGCTCCCATTGTATGCCAGGTTATGTTGTTTCCGTATGCCGCGCGTGTAGCCGCGATTTCTATGCTAAACGCGCGTGGCATGGCACGGATCCGACAAATGGTATAGTCGGCAGCTCCAGTCGTGGTTACGTTTTCGTTTACGTTTTCTCTCCTTGACGCAAAGGAGTGAGATGGTGAGGGGGGGGGGGGAGGTGGAGGGACGATCCCGCGCCGACGAAATTTCGGAGCGAGAACGGGACTCGACTCTGTCGAATATATCGGAGAAACACCGCGGGCCGCGCGCGTTGTGTGAGTTCAGTTAACAAAGCTTACGGTCGCGGTGTCACGAGGATATGCCGCCGTGTATCATTACCCGGGTATAGAGAACGGTGAACGCCATTGTGTGGTTAGCCTCACTGTTCTTCGATCAAACAGACTGATTATGTAATTAATTATTCGCAGTTCAATCGTGTTACATTAAACATTCTGGACTGGTGAGCAGATAAACAGCGATTATCGTTGTCAATTTAAATACATAATCTCTATTGATTTTGGCAAAATTTGATTCGCCTTTGCCATAGGTTCGCAAATAAATGTAATAATTGCGATATCACGGAGGAGAGTATGGATCGGACGATAACTATACGTTTGCCCAGTCATGTATTTCAACCTACAATTAATTGACGAAAACAAAATTCATTAGATTTATATTGTACTCGAGGCATTTAAGCGGCTTTCAAGCGGACTCCGTATTCTCTTATTAATTGGTTCCCGATGCACTTCGCCAGATATCCAGATGCCGGGAGAGTTTAATCAATGCACAGAAAGAACGATTTTACCGTGGAAGGTCTAAAAATTTTGCTAGATACAGATCTGAAAATAATTCTTGTTGGATCGTCAAAATAATTTTGTTACTTGGAAAGTCAAACTGATTGCTAGAATATCAAAACATTTTACAGCAACTCATCATTTTTTAGTTTCCAACAAAATTATTTTTAGATCCAAATTTTTTCATCTTCTAGAAAATTGTTCTTTTCGTACATTGAGAAAAAAAATTTGTTGAAACACGCAAAATTTGTTTCATCTTACTAAAATATCTAGTCCGATACGTTCAACTAAACATTACTATGATGATACAAAATAATTTGTTATAATAAACAAAATACTATTTTTTTACTGTACTATTTTGTTTCAACAAAAATTTATCGTATTTAACTCAACCGTTCGATGAAACATACAAACTATTTATCATTCCCATCAGCATCGTTTAGTCAGTTTGAAATTTGAACAAATATATTATTTGGATAACTACATTGCATGCAAACACAAATAAATGCTATTAGTATTTCGAGCAAAATGATTTAATTGAGTTGGTTTAATAATTTTAATTTACTAAAATGGAAATAGTTTCATTCTTGATTAAAAAATTTTGATGAATGGTTAACATGAATGAACTGTATACTTTTTGTGCAATTAAATAATTGTTCGACCAACCATTGGATCAAACAACTATTACAGATTTAGTCCGTACAATCAATTTTTTTTTTCTCAGTGTGCGTTAACGGACGAAAATCGTATTAGCAATTTAATCGTATCTCGGAAAAGAAAGAAATCGAGGGTTTAACGCCAGGCATTCACGCCCACGGTCGGTCGATCGGGAGGAGCTATAGGTCTCTGCAATTTTGCGATTAACTTTCAACGGCGGTGGCGCGTCCCGCGAAGGGTTGCCCGACGACGCGACGCACGTAGGAAAGAATTATCGCGGCTGACGGGTAGAATTAATCGTCCCTTCTGCTTCAGAGAGATCTTCTCCCGGGTCGGCAATGGAAAAACTATATAGAAATAATTAAATTCTAATCCCGAGCTTATCATTCCAGAGATATTTCCGACGTCGTTTGTCGGCAATTAACGCATGGCACGTTACTGTTGGCTTACAACAGCCGTACGTTTTCCTTTCACCACCGAGACGTATGTCATGTGTGCGCAGGAAGGATCAATATTGCTTTATACAATTTCTGACTGTGTCATTGGAAAAAAAAAAAGAAAACTTCTCGCGGCATCGATCCCTTTTCACGAGACACATTGTACAGACACATAAATCTGTATACGTTAACACGCATTGTGGAGCCCTGGACGGGCTGTGTGTGTGTGTGTATATATGTGTGTGCGCGCGCGCGCGCGGGATCGTAATTCATTGTCCGTTAAATCGTCTCGTTCGCCTTAATGACGCCAACGGCGTGGGAAAGCCGTTTTACGAGGCAACGTACGTGTACGACGCCGTCTTTTATTGCGCTTATCCGGCGTTTTCGTCAAGGAAGCGAGACTCGGCGCGACGGCCACCGCGCGGCCGTCAACCCGAGGAATCGGTGGCGTATGTTAATCTGTCGCAAATTTATACACGCATCGTAATTTTTCGGCGAGCGCGTGTTACGCTTCGCGTACACGTCCCACGGGGATGGCGCGTTGTACGAAATTGTAATAAAAGTCGCGGATCTACGCGATTACGACCGCGTAAACCCTGTTTCGTTATTTACGTCCGCGAGACGAGCTCCGCGATACAATGCGATGCGATGCGACGGAGAAGACGAGTATCTTTTAAAGAGGGATCCCTTCATCTGACTGTTTCAGGAATAATGAAGAGAGAAGCCGAGGCTGGCGCCATGACAGGTTCCGGGGGTCCAACAAGCCCTCACAAGCGCTATCGACAGGGTGACGATGAGCTCCGTCTTCTCATCCCGAGTAAGGTGAGTGTCGAATGATACGTCGCGTTTACAGTAGAAGAGTCTCTCTAATTGTGGCTTCGCTAATCTTTCCACACATACGTCCACAAACACTAACGTCATGCCCCTTCCATTCCCTTCGTAGAGGGTAGGTCAATGCAACAAGATTATGTGTAAAGATTGTGATTCGTAGATTCGAGTATGGCAAGGATATTCTATAATTTTGGCATTCCGTTCTTATCGTTCCGTATAGGCAAAAAATTAGAGAGACTCTACTGTGAAACTATCGACCAAAATATCGCTATAATTGGCGTCAGATTTTAGGATAAAATTTCATATTTAATTTTATGTTATTTAAAAAAAATTATTATTTGTTATTTTATTTTACATACATACGCGTGTTTTTAACATACGTTTCACGCATGTGCGTGTTCTGATTCTGCAGATATTTTTCGTATTACTTACATAAAATGCATAAAATTATAAACAGGTATTTTCCTGAACTCTGGACGCGAAGTTGTCTCGCAAGTGGGCTTTAAACTCAAAGTCACGCGACTACACGTTCGAAATCGCGTTCTTCCGTCTGTTTTTGCGAAACGACAAAGGTGTTTTGTTTCGCTCTCGGCCTCTATATGGCTAACGTACGTGTTGTGCACGTCCCTCGGCACGGGAAGCGTTTGTACCGTTGTACCCGCGGGTCGCAATCGTCGGAAATGTCGATGGCTGGGCAACGCCTCCTCCACGTCTCTTCGACGTGGCGCGGTATGTATAGCGTGCGGTGCGTTTCCAACTCACAATATGTGAGCGGGGCAGGTCGCGCTTCCCACGTGTGCGCCTCGCCACACTGGGTCACTGTATTTTCCAGTCACGCGTACCTACCCCCGCGTGCGTCTGCCGCTTTTTCGCCGTTGCAACGTTATCCGCGCGCGAATGGGAGTGCAGAAGCGGTGAAACGCGGCTCTCCCATATGCGCAACACGGATCGCACCCACCTCCGACTGCACGTCCGTTTTCATCGCGGGACAAGCCGCGGCTCTTCCGGTCATTGTCGCCTGCACGCTCGACGTACCGTTATCGGTTTCTCTCGGCTGGCTTTCTTTCCCATCCTC